TCCACTATCCAGATTTTTTTGTCTTTCTTATCAACAATTGTTAAGTCTGGGGTGTTGTGTGACAGGTGCTTGTGTGTTTGAATTCTAAAGTCCCAGAGCACTTTAGCTTCTTCATTTTCAGCTACTTGTCTGTTTTGTGGTCCCACCAGTTCTCACTTGCAGGCAAATTGTATTTGTTGCAGATATTCCAATGCACCATTGTTGCTACTTTGTCATGTTATTGTTTGTACTCAGTCTGTGCGAACTTCTTGCAGCAGCTGACTAGGTGGTCCACTGTTTCTTCAGCTTCTTTGCAGAGGTGGCATTTGCTGTCTTCTCAATTCTGGCTTTATATGCATTTGTTCTTAAAGCTTGGTCACAAAGCTTGGTCTTACAGCCAAATTTAGCCCCTCTGACTCTTTCTTCAACTTTCCTACTCTTAGCCATTGCCAGGTCTTGTTGTTATCAGCTTTGCCTGCTAGTTTTTTTGTGTATTGGCCATGTAATACTTTGCCTTCCCATGTCTCTTTTCTGTTCTTCATTTCGTCTTTCTTATAGGCCAGTTTGGTTTCTTTGGTATTCAGGAAGCCTTCACAGTGTATTAGCTTCAGTGCATCTTCTTCATTGTCCTTCAGATATTCTTCCAATGCCCTTTTTTCTTCTTCAAGCATCTGGTGTGCTTGTATCATTCCACGCCCAACTATGCTCCTTGGTAAGTAGAGTCTGTCAACATCGCTGCATGGATGAAGGGTGTGATTCATTGTCATTATTTTCCTGGTTTCCTATTCAGGGCTTTTAGTTCAGCTTGAGTCCAGTCCACTGTTCAACTGTATGTCTAATGACTGGAATGGCTGAGATGTTAATCACCTTGATGGTATTTCCTCCACTGAGTTTGGACTTTAAGATCTTCTTCACTCTTCTGAAGTATTCACTACTAACGTTCTTCTTGGCTTCGGTGTCCTTGGTGTTGTCAGCCTGAAGGATGCCCAGGTATTTATAGTGATCTTCTTCATACAGACTCTTGATGTTATTTCCATTGGGCATCTTGAGTTTTCACTATTTTTCCCTGGCTGATGGTCAGGATGGCTCATTTGTCCAGTCCAAACTCCATTGCAATATCTTGGCTGTATATTTGGACAATACTGAGCAGCGATTCCATTTCAGATGTTGTTTTTCCATACAGCTTCAGATTGTCCATGTGAAGGAGGTAGGATAACCTGGCATATGTTTTTGATC